TTTATTCGTAAATATTACATTGATTTATTCAGAATATATTAAGTACGAATATTAGGTACAAAGCAGAGCCTAAAAAGAACCACGAATATAAGAAACACTGTATAATGCTTCCTATCTCATTTTCTCCTAAGTTTAATCTTATGAATCTATGTGTCTATCTCTTTTTACTGTCGATTTTTCGTTTCATCGACTTTCAAATCACAATGATGCTAAAGAAGTTTTCACTTCAAAAAGAAAAAGGTCTATGTATTCTCTGAAGCTTAAATCAAAACGCAAATTGTTACTTTTACAAGAATATGGGCATACGATCCGCCTGGTAGTAAAGTGTCATCGCCAACGCCAGCGGCGTAGCTAAGTCATTGCCTAACGCTTAAGGGTCCTTTCAAACCTCGGTTGAAGGATATAACTTATCCCGGGAAAATTGTGCCTACAGTTCATTCCAGCGGCGTTTTTTATGGCGACTATTCGTTCTAGAATCACATCGTGCAAAAACACAGTCGTAATTATGGTAGTAAAAAGATGGGATCATTTAATAAAGTTACAACAAAACATCGTCAACAAGGCTGGGGTAGCCGTTGTAACTATACTGAGACCTTAGAACTTATACCTCAAGGTGGGTGGCGTGTTTACGTTCTAGATGTCTATGGGCTCCAGTAACTACTTAACACAAGGTGGGCGGTGAGCTCTTCTACCCATCTAAGCAATAAAACATTAAAAAATAAAAACATTATTAATCAAACATTCGATACACAGCATTAAAAGAACCGAAATCCTTTTTAAGTTCCAAACGATATCAGAAGAATGGACAAGAACGTTGAAAAACAAAAAAAAAGAATACTGCAATAAAAAAAAACACAAGAGTGTCGTATAAAAAAAACATTTATTTTTCACTTATAAACGCATTGCACAATTTATGAGTACAATTTTTAAAGTTTTGGAAAAACAGATTAATATTTAAAGGATATTTCCTTATTAGTGACGTCACGTCTTTTTCTTGCCTTTTAATTCACGTCATATAAATATTAATTTTTAATTGAGAAAAGTTATGTTAGTGTAATCTATTTTTGACACATTCCATCCTACCAAAGATTACATTACTAGATTTGAGTTCAACAAGATCTAATTACTCATCAGATCTAAATAAACACCCTTAAAATTTGTTATGGTTTCCAATAAAATAAAATAAAAACATTTTAACTGTATAATGTCTTAGAGCTTTCACATCGAAAATTTAAAACGTTGATTTTCAAAGCTTTATTGACAATTAATTAATCGATTACTAATTGTATGACCACTAATAAATTAATTATAGATTTTTTTTATTTACTTAATTCACCACACATATGTATAAGTTAGTGGGTTACGTTACGTAATATTTAATATTACGAATCGAAAATATTTCCTGTACAAACAAAATATAAACTATTAAAAAAAATACATAAAAATATATCACATATTTTGCACTATTAGATCTACGAGTATCTATTAGTAAAGGGGATGGCCCATTTTAGGCCCAAAGCGGACAATAGATTATAGAAAAAATACTTAGTGCATTAATTTTGTCATAAATAAATATGCATTTACTTTCTTGCAAATAAGCGCCACTACAGTTTACAATAAGTAGCTTAAAAAAAGTAACTCTATTGAAAAAGCAAGGACTTTTATTTTTGCGGAAAAAATATTGCCAGCTTCAAAACCTTTTACGTATGAAGTAAATATTTTGAGTATATATATTTATATTTTATTAAACATATAAATAAATCATTTTAAGTATTAACATTAATCAATCGATTTTAATGGATTTTAATGGAACATCGAAGACATACCCATTGGACTTTAACTTGTAACTATACTTGAGACCTTAGAACTTATATCTCAAGGTGGGTGGCCCTTTACGTTGTAGATGTATGTGGGCTCGAGTAACCACTTAGCAACACCAGGATGGCTGTGAGCTCGTCCACCCATCTAAGCAATAAAAAAAACTTTACTAGTATTGTTATTTAAATATGTACAACAAAAACAAAAACATAAAAAATAATGTGTACTCGTAAAAAAAAGATTAAGATATAAATCAATTATCGGTTATTTAAAAAAAAAATCGATATATGAATTTCATGTAATTATTTTTCTTTATACTGTCAACACTGAATTTAATCTGACTGACTGACACTTCGCTTGCTGCTTGTGGTGTTGTGCTTGCGTACAAAATGGATGTGTTTTAATTTTTCTTCGATTTATTTTACTTTTATCAATAACGTTTCATACTACGACTAAAAAACATTGTGTGAATTGTGGTTTTACCCTGACCGAGATTTAAAACCGTGTATATGCTCTCCTTTGCTATTTTTAGATGATACTAATTGTGTATGAAGATGAAGAAAATATAGATATTTAAAGAATTAAGTGTGTTTTTATACCCTATTGGATAAAAATACATTAGGAACATCTTAAACATTAAGAAAAGAAAAGTTCTTGAAGTATCTCACAATCCGACACTTATTTATATAGAAAATTAACCTCAAAACGAGTTTTTATTTTTATTATATTTTTTATAATAGTGGCGTCAATTTCAATATATTTTTTAGATATCCAATACATTTAAGAATTTGAATCAGTACATTTTTATCGTAATATTTGATGTCCATCTTGGGCCTAGCACACTATGGAGAGTGGGCAATCCCCTTTAATCCTACGTTAATTTAAAAAAAAAAACACTATTGGCACTTTTGTAAATCGAGTTTTTATTTTTCTTTATTAATCTAATTTCTGGCGCTATATTCCAGAACAAGGTAACCTTTCGCAGAAATAAATTTTAAATCCACTTAAAAAAGCACATCTGTTCGTTTATGCACGCTACGCTTCGGAGACCAAATAGGTCTGTGTGTTTGTAGTTTTTTAACGTTCTAGATAGCGTAAAAGTAAACTCATATTTGTATGCAGTTGGAACAGCGCCCCTTGCGGCAAACATAGCTCAACGTTCCAAGTCTATACAAAATTGAGTTAACTTTTACGCTATCGAGAAAGTTAAGAAACTCGCACTAAGCACACTGGACGCGGTGCCGCGATATAAATGTGACATAAACATAAATAATTCAATATGAGTCTAAAGGACTTTAAGAATTATAATTTGGTTTCGTTTGGGTAGCGGACTGTTTCCGAATTTGATACGACAGTAAACTGCTATGTTAAAATGAGAGAAACACAATATTCATTTACAGTAAGGAAGACAGAGACAAAAACCTTTTATACTCTGTCTACGAACCGATTTCCTTTTCTTTGTTCCGTAACTATTAATCATTTCATTATCATCATCATCATGCTTTCCTATTACCCTCTGCTGGGGTGTAGGGCTCGAATCAAATTTTTCCATTTATATCGGTCTTGGGCAGTCTGTTCTAGCTCCTCCCACGTCATGCCCAAGACCCCTAGCTCCTGCTCCACCGAGCGACGCCAAGTTGTTCTGGGGCGGCCTCTCTTCCTTTTATTATATATTTTCATTTCATTATATTTATTATTATATTTTATAACGACTATTAATTAGGTCCAATAAACACAACTGATAAATTAACTCCAAAAAAATAATTTTTTTTTCGTTAACAGCAGTTTTAGAGCGTATCATATCATAAAGCCGGTCAAACAAAAATCCGAATATTTATTTACTATTCGGCGAATCCTGTATAATCTATGATTAGGAACTATCGCCGTACATTTTGACCCCGAATGACGTCATACGTAGTGAAGTCGAGTTTGACAGAGATGTGCAAAATTGTAATTGATGAATTTCAATATCTACAAAGTCGACAGTACTCAAAGAGTAGTATTTTAAGACAAACGTGTTGTGGCCAATTCCACTTCATGACGTACAGAAATAAAGTTACCTTTAGATTTATATTATGACCTCACAAAAAGTTGAAACTATGTTATCTGTGCACTATAATAGAGGTCTGGTGTGATCTGATTCAAAAAAAGGATTATACATACGTTCAATAATATATTTATTTATATACATATTATTAAGCGTTCAGATACATAGTCAGTATATGCATTAATTACACGAATATTTGTCCGATGTGGGAATCGAACCCACGACCTTCGGCGCCACAGTCAAGAGCGCTAACTACTGCACAACCGAGTCTTCCAACAACTACATTTACCTATGAATTGAGCTACACTTGCATCTAAACATTTTGCCAAACCTCTCGACATTAAAGACTGAACTCCGAAGTATAATAACAACTAGTCCGTAATCAGAACTTTTTTGTGATGAGTTTTTTTTTTAATTGTTTAAGTATCAGTATTAGTTGTTTTATTTTCCCAACTGAAAAGCAAAGCTATCATACCATACAGCCTAATCTTTTATATATTTTTTATTTATGAAAAATGATGTTATGTAATGACATGAAGTTGATTAATATGACACATGGCATAAAATGAAATGAAATGAAAACGAAATGGAATGAAATGAAATGAGTTGAGATGATATGGGATGAAATATAATCTCAGTAAAATGGTGGTCATTTATTAAGACTTTTTCAGTGGACTTTTTGCAGGATCCCGAGAAGTTATGTTCAGCGGCTTTGTTTAATTTTACCACATTTGTACACTTTCACAGATACTAAAAAGTTAATAAACCACCGATATTACACATTTAAATCTGAAGAAACACTATATAGACAGAATAAAACAAAACATTTCTCCCGCCAAAAAGTCTTATTTGTTTAAATTTAGATAATTATAGCTATACGACCTAGGGACTTTTTGAGGTGAACGCGAGGAGTGAAGTTGTGTAATTTGTTTTATTTTGTCTATTTAGTGTTTCTTCAGGTTTAAATACGTAATAACGATAGTTTATTAAGTGTTTAGTATCTGTGAAAGTACACAAATGTGGAGATCCTCCAAAAAGTCCACGAAAAAAGCCTCAGTAAATGACCACCATTTTCCTGAGATTATAATAAAATATTTCATCTCATATCATTTTATATCATTTAACTTCATATTATCATTTTAATTTTAATATCTGTATTCTGATTAGGCTGTATGGTATTATGATACCTTTGCCTTTCCAGTTGAAAAATTAAAACTACTACTGCTATACGACCTTACGCCTTTGACGTCGAAGTTCTAATCTAAATATGGCAACAGATAGTCGTCGACTACGCTGACGTTCATGTGCCAATTGAAATGGTTCACACCTGGAACGCTGAGGACGTGTAGCCTGCCCGACTCGTCTAGACTCTTCAGTCCTATTTTGTCGTCCTTGTAGATTTCCTGATTGCGAAGCTCGATGACCGTTTCGTTGGCGTTGTAGTAGCCGAATTGACTGAAGACAAAAAAAAAAGAAAACCTTAATCTAATGTTTTTTTTTGGCCCGACTGGCAGAAGAACATATCGCACCTTTAGAATTGAAGTGACAAGAAAAAAAAGTTTTTTTTATGAAATTTTATCTCGCCATCTCTTTCGTACGCCAGCGCCGTTACTAACGGTCACGTGTGAAACATTATGAGTACTGACTAATTCTGTCCGTTTTTAACATACTCTTATTAGCTAGTAAAACGGTGTGGGAACAAAATCCTAATAATCCTTTTATTTTAGATGCTGAATAAGATAAATTTTAGGCTATTGTTCTTCAATATTGCCGAATTCTTTACTAGTCATTCGGAACCAGAATGTTTTTTTAATTTTTTTATAGCTTTCATGGGTGGACGAGCTCACAGCCCACATGGTGTTAAGTGGTTACTGGAGCCCATAGAAATCTACAACGTAAACGCGCCACCCACATTGAGATATAAGTTCTAAGGTCTCAGTATAGTTACAACAGCTGCCCCACCCTTCAAACCGAAGCGCATTATTGCTTCACGGCAGAAAATAGGTGGGGCGGGGCGGTGGTATCTACCCGTGCGGACTCTAGAGGTCCTACAACCAATATGTACGCTGAGCTGACCACACATAATCCTAATATACAATTTACTCACAAGAGTGGTGTTTAACTTGAAGTCAAAAAACTTAATTTTCAAATAAAAATTTGCTCGAATGATTGATATTTCATATTAATGAGAAAGTTTTTGATACTTTTTCTTGTGTTGTTATGAGTGTCCAGTACCCTTGTCACTTGCTTCGCGAAAGAAAGAGACAACGTATAATTGAGCGATCATGTCGTCGTACCTGCTCTGCCAGGGTGTGATGACGTCGTCGTCCGGTCCCCCGATCAGTACCAGCCGCTTCAGTCTAAGCATGTTGGCTTTGAATTCTTCAGACTTCTTCGACCTGAATTTTCAAAATGTCATATCATTTTTATTTATTAATTTTTTATTGCTTAGATGGGTGAACGAGCTCACAGCCCACCTGGTGTTAAGTAGTTACTGGAGCCCATAGACATCTACAACGTACATGCGCCACCCACCTTGAGATATAAGTTGTAAGGTCTCAGTATAGTTACAACGGCTGCCCCGCCCTTCAAACCGAAACGCATTACTGCTTCACGGCAGAAATAGGCGGGGTGGTGGTACCCGTGCGGACTCACAAGAGGTCCTACCACCAGTAAAGTATTTGTACAGTATTTGTTGCATAGTAGAGATAAATTGATGCACAGGCGATTTTACAATAGATTTAGTCCAGTCTCTCGGTTGAACTTCTCAGTGGGTCGCGTTTCCGATCCGGTGGTAGATTCTGCGAAGCACTGCTCTTGCTAAGACCAGTGTTAGCCGGTTTGAGCCCCGTGAGCTCACCTACACGTCAAGGAGAAGATGATATAACCTCTCAAGGCTATCAGCATAGGTAGGAAAAAAATTGAGATAAAATAGTGTTAGCAAATTCTCTCAGGTTGAGCCCGTGAGCTCAACTACCCGTCCGGGGAGAGCTGGAATAGCCTCTTAGGCTACCAGGGATTAGGTATGGGAAAAAAATAATAGGTAGATCTCTTCAGTCACACTACATCTAGAAATAGGTAGAACGGTAATTTGACTAAAAATATCTATTCCATAAAGTTTCAGGTCGCATTGAAAGTAAATGTATGTATTTTCTAAGATTAGATTTTGTATTTCCGGTACAATTTTAATACATATTCTTGTAATATTTATTCACTATTATTTTGTTTTCCTATGATCCCTTTTCTCTCGTTTTCGGATAACATCAAATTGTCAGTTTTTGGTCGTAATATTTCTGTATACTTCAAGAATTAATATTTACAATAATCACTTCTGACATAAACGCGTGAGCGACCTGAGGTCATATTTTCACAATTTTCTTTCTATCGTTGATAAATGTTATAAGTTGATGCTCCAATTGATCCAACTTTAGGTACTGAACTCAAATATTAAAAGGAAAAAAATAACACACAAAAAATATCTATACAAAAATTAAATACTATTAGTTCTATTTAATTTAGTTCCGTCGTCTGGGAAATGCAAAATAAAAACACAAAAAGATCAGGTTCCACCGAGATTTGAACTCGGATCGCTGGATTCAGAGTCCAGAGTGCTAACCATTACACCATGGAACCGACGAACGACACATCAAAATTACGGTAATGTAGCCGAATTACAAATATTTATTGCAGCACAATCGAATTATTGAAATTAAATTTTTGCTTTCATATTTTATCATTTTTTATTTATTAAAAATCATGTAATTATTTGACATGTTTTTTTTTGGTAGCTGTCTCATACAATGTAAACTACAGAACTACATTAATTTCCAGTTGTATATTGTAAATTGGTACTTGTCTGCAGGATTCAAACCCAGGGCGCCTAATTTGTAAATATTTATTATTAACACATACTCTATTCCTTATACATAGACTGTCACATACTTCAAACAGTAGAAATAAGCAGCTGGATTAAAAAAAAAACTATATATTCCTTTCTGTTGATACTGACGGAAGCAACATTTAATAAAAATACTCACTGTTTATGATTATTTAGGTAAGGCAAAAACATGCAGTAGGTCTCGTACAGCGGCTGATGGTATGGGTCGTTCCAGTAATTGCCGACGGATGTGTGCTGACCAACTTTCGAGTAGAACAACTCATAGACAGTTTCTTTGACCAAGCCCGGAAACACCAAGTGCAGAAAACCAGCTGTGAATGAATTATTTCAAATTATTTCAGTTCAAAAATGTGTTCTTTCTATTTAGATTAAACAAATAGTTCTCCTAACAAATAACAAGGTATTGATTGAGATTACATAGTGGTTTTTCAAATAGTAACTGTATAGAGCTTCGATCATCAATAGTAACTAGATAAAGGGACACGTACAAAATTAAAGCAAAAGCTGTCCGCGTGAATATACACCTATAGCTACATTCGTTTACTAACAAACGGAAAAAAAAGTTTTGAAACAATTTTAAGTTCAAACTAATTACAACTATGGTACTTTGTAATAAAGTCACAAATCTCCAAAACGTTATCTAATACTTACGATCATTCGTCACATAAAATGAGCAAAGTAATAAATTAATCCTGTCACTTACAAATAAAAAACATACGTTAAACAACTTTTAATGTTAAATCAACCTTAAGTGGCAACAAATAAAGTACTTTTTCCCTTTATTGCTCTGAGAACTAACATCGTTTTGTTTTATTTATTTTTGCTTCTTGAAATTTCGATTTCTGTTTACTACAGGAGGTAAGGGAGTCGCGTTGAACACTAAAATAATTTATTAATGAATAAAAGCAAAAGTTTAGTTGTTTACTTTTTATGTTTTGGAAATTTATGTTTGTTAGTATCTATACATTATTTATTATTTTATTAGCGTTGCGTTTTTGTGTAATATATATTTTTATAGTATATTTTTAAGTTTTCGCGACCAGTGCACATAATAAAACAACGTTTAAACGGTTTCAAGCGCGGTATTTTTATTACAATGTTTCGGCCACGTTTCAGTAGCCGTGAGCACGGAAGACAAAGATGTCCAGTGTCAATGAGCGGAGATCTTAGCTGGCTTATAAAAGTCATCTCTTGTTTCTGTGGCGACAATCGAGATCCATTCTGCACACGTGATTGCTAGGAAAGCTAAGTATCTAATGAGAGTCCAAAAAACAGACACAAAAGCAGCATTAACCAATTTTAACCAACTAATTTTGAAGTACATCTAACAAATTTTAAAAAATTATTAAAACACAAATCTACTCCGTGCGTTTACTGTTCTATTAAACAAACGTTTGTCCATGTGTTGGCCGAGCCTTGGCCAACATTTGTAGCGGTGGATAAAAATCGGTAATTTTGTTCAAAATTTAATATTATTTATTAGTTTAAAGCCTAAAATATAGTTTATACTTCATGTACTTACCGAAAGTAAGATACTTCAGCCGTTAAAACATTTTAATCTTGTATTATTTATTACCTACTATGCCTTACCTCCATATTGACCAGCTTGTGGTGAACTGAGTGATATGAAAGTACTAACAGACACATTAGAGAATGTCTCGACGATCCCTCTTGCTACCAGACCTCCTTGGGAATATCCTGAAATTGATTTATTGAGTTTTAATTATTTTAATTGAAACAAAGCCACTACCAGGAAAAACTTTATGTACTTAAGTCAAACTCTTAAGAATTTAGCCTTGTATGTCAAGCCATGAAGTACCCAATCAGGCTTGGGTTCTGCTTCTAATTACTGGATAGTCATTATTTAAGAGAGCCAATTCACATAATTAGATTAACAGTATTAACTATTTTTATGGTTACTCACAATCAAATAATATTGTTGTAATATGGTTATTATATTTTTGTTTTGATTAGAGCATTTAAGAAAGCAAAATTTAATTTCAAATTCTCATTTGGATTTTACCTATTAAATTGATTCCTTCAGGATGTGACGCAGATATGTTAGCCACGTCCAAACCAATTTCCAAAACTTGGTGCCACATACTTTCCAAGCTGGACCAGCTCTCGAACCTGTTCACGTTGTACACAACTGTTCCGGGATGTTTCTGGAATATTTTGCTTCATGTTTATTAAAACTGCTACAAAGTATAGATGGAGTCAGTGGCAGTTTCAAATTGAAGAAATAATAATTTATCTTCCATTACTTTTATTATTTATAAAATCTTACCCTTACTGTTATGATATTAAAAAATCAAGGTCATGATATATTTCCTATTATCAAAGATAGGTCACAAATAAATCTAGACTTACCTCTTCTATTCTATGCTTTATTATTTCCATACTACCACTCCCAGTCATAATTCCATGCATTAAAACCACAGGCTTATACGCAAATCCTATACTTAAACTTAATAAATTAAACAATAAAGCTTTAACAAGATTCATTGTAATCAAGAACAAAGAACACTATATAAATAATAACACTATTATAGGAGCACTGTTGTTTTGTTGTTTTAAAACTCTTTTCTAAATTATTTGTACATTAAGAATTATTTGGAATCTAGTAAATGCATATTTAATTTTTTATTTATTAGGAACTACTCATTGTAATAAACGTTGATAACGTATAAACGTAAATACACAAATAGCCCCCGTGCGTAAATAAGTAAATACGACATCATTCGAACTTCGAACGAAATATGGTATTTTTTTAAGGGGTATTATGACCTGGTAACTGAGACCTTTAAGTCAAGTCTTATTTTAATTTTAATGATAGCTTTTTTATATTATGAAAAATAGTATGTGGCGTTTAAGTACGCACCTTTTTATGATGCGTAATCCGGAACGCACGAGATGTGGGAGACAGAATATAGTCTGTGACACAATACCTTTTTACCGCCAAATATGAAAAACATAAAAATAATTTATAATGAGTTAAATAACTAATTTAATGTAATTACTTTATGCCGCTACAACAATAAAATTTATATTGTTCCAACTGTGGTGTTAATTACATAAAACACGACCAGGCGAAATAAAGAAGGGACTCTATATGAGCTCCCTCAAGTATTATAAAATGAAATGAAATGAAAACGAAATGAAATGAAATGAGATGATATGGGATGAAATATAATCTCAGTAAAATGGTGGTCCTTTACTGAGACTTTTTAGTGGACTTTTTGGAGGATCCCGAGAGTTTACGTTCAGCGGCTTTGTTTCATTTTCCCACATTTGTGCACATACTAAACAGTTAATAAACCACTGCTATTACACATTTAAACCTGAAGAAACATTAATTGGACAAAAAAAAACAAATCACACAACTTCACTCCTCGCGCTCCCGCCAAAAAGTCCGAAATATGGTATGATTCTCAACATACATTATACACTTATTATATTTGAGAATTCTCAACTCATTATAGTGTTGGTCTCACGAAAGAAGTCTCGCAGACGCAGACGCGGCGCCGCAGTTTTTTTTTTGGGATTTTATGACCTGGTAACTAAGTATTTTAAGTCATGTCTTATTTTATTTTATGTTCTTGTTTTTAAGAAAAATGATAATATGGAGTGAAATGAAATGAAATAAAGATTAATAATTTGAGACATTAATCAACTGGGATGAAATGAAATGAAATGAGATGAGATAATAAGGGATAAAATATAATCTCAGTAAAATGGTGGTCCTTTACTGAAACTTTTTAGTGGACTTTTTGGAGGATCCCGAGAAGTTGTTTCACTTTCCCACATTTGTGCACTTTCACAGATACTAAACAGTTAATAAACTACCGTTATTACACATTTAAACCTGAAGAAACACTAAATAGATAAAATAAAACAAATCGCACAACTTCACTTCTCGCGTTCCCGCTAAAAAGTATTTGTTCCATTTAAATTTTCAAAAGGCAGACCTGACTTCGGCTTTTGTCGCAAAACTTTTCCTTTATGACCTATGTTCCTTTTGCGTGTCTAATGACGAATCCAATAACAACAACAACCAAAATATTGACGGTACCTTTATACTGCTCATCTACATTGAGGTTGAATTTTGAATTATATATTAAATTAAACAACTTATATCTAATATGAAATTGTTAGTGATAACTCTTTAAAACTTCAGTTATAATATTTGTTAAAAATATTATCATTTATTTGGGTAAGTTTAACACATGTAAATTGAAGGTTATTTAAGGCTAACATTATTCATGTTAAAAACATGTGATCTATCGGTTGTTTTACCTTTACAGAATTAAAAACGATATTCAAAAATGGCAACCACGTCATTAGCGCAACAGCTACAAAAGCTGAAGGCACCGCAATCTTCCATATACAAAGAGTCAACGATACAAGTTTCGCTGCTATTTAACCCTTCAGAGGCAGCTTCGAAGGACCGTGACACCTTCTACGAGATCGGCTTGAGTGGTCTTCAAGAGCTCATAGCACTTTGCCCCGATTTCTCCACATACCAAGACACTTTATTCAGTCGCTCATCCAAAGACTTTGAAAGAGCAGTACAGTCTAAAGAGGTCAATCAAAACTTGGATCAGAACATTGAGAAGTTCTTACTTCAATTGTCTCCGTACTATTTACTACAGTCTGCGCATAAAACATTAGAATGGCTAATAAACAGATACCACATACATCAGTACAACCAAGATGCCATGATGGCACTAATACTACCATACCATGGCACAATGATATTCGTGAGATGTGTTCAATTAATGGACCTGAAATATGCTTCAAACAGATGGATTTGGCTTGTTCCAATTAAAAAAAATGGTATTCCTTTAGGAAACCAAGTTTTATACAATCAGTGTGCTTCTAATATGGGAACTCTACAATTCATAGCTAAAATGGTGCTAAAATATGTACAAGAGTACAAAGAAAGAGCTACGCAGTTAAATACGATATATGCCTTTTTCTGTCAAGTCGCTGTGGGGACTATTAGTACAGTAAAAAATGTTAGTGAAGGAATGATTACCGCACTACTTCCAACACTTATGAAAGGCATTGAGTCACCCATAGCTGACTTCCGGGCATCTTGTTACATCATTATAGGCTATCTGTTTACAAAAACGAAACTCAAAGAAAAAACTCTCAATCAAATATTGGATAGGATGCTAACAACTGAATTTGATTTGTCATATGATGTAGTTCTTCTTATAGTTATGATGTATGAACACCAAAAGCACATAACTAAAATGTCGGATGTGATATTTAATATTTCTGTGGACATGATGCATACCTTCTGTGGTCATATAAAAGTACTTGTAGCTAAAAAGACTAACATTCGACCATTTGTGTTAGCATTTTTAAAGAAAGTTCTACCTCTAGCACAGAGAGGTGTAGAGGAATTTAAAACTTACAGCCCTTTGCCAGATATATTGATAGAGGAAGTTGATTTGAAAAACCAAGATCCTGAAAAAATTATAATGTAAGTATCTCAGCCTTTAGTTTTAGAAAAATATGAGCCCTTAACTTTGAGACAACCTAGTTCCAGCTGTTTAGCAGAAACCAAAGCCTTAGCATTAGCAGACCTGAGGTCAAACTCTCAATTATATTCTGTAGAACAACTGCTGTAACAAACATATGGTTGAATACTTATGGTGATACTATTGGTAAAGAATAGTCATTAACACATATATAGTACTCTCTAGTATATTAATAGGAAGTGCTCACTCATTTACATTTGCAATGCTACTGTACCTTGTTTTTTGAATATCAAGCCTTCTGAGAGCTGAACTGTTAAGAATCCCGTTTATCACACTTGTGCTCACTTGACTACATCTAAGTGGGTCTAGATGTTGGCGGGTTTTGTGTTTTATAAAATGCTTAAGGTGTTTTTTTTTCCTACCTATTGCTAGTAACTTCGAGCGGCTATGCTAGCTTCATCAAACATGTAAGAGAGCTCTCGGGGCTCAGCCTGAGAAACTTTGCTAACATCTACCCGAGTAATAGCAGTGATTTGCTTAATTTGCCACTGAATCGGAATCTCAACCCACTGAGAAAATCAGACGAGAAACTCAGTGGGCTGTGTCTGCAGATTAATGTTCAGTTAAGGTCATGTCCACCATAATCATTCCTTTTTGTTGAAATTTAAGAAATAGTTCTTATTTAGAAGTTGTTGAGAATTTCTCAGAATTTTAAATAGTGGCACGTTCATCCCCTTATATGTATATACCTACATAATTGCTCAAGGTCATGTACTTGCTTACACTAAATACAAAAATACCATTACAGGTGCATCCTAGATGCATATCAATTGCCTACTGCTGATGAACAAGCCGATGGTGAGAGTGACATTGAAATCATAGATGAAGAGGACTTTTCATCCAAAATCATCAAGTGGTATGCTATACTCCTTAAAAACATAGAGCGCCAGTACCCTGACGCATTTGACAAGGTTATAACTTCAGTAATGAACTCTGAAAGTGATATTACTCCCAAACGACAACGTCAACTTTCAAAACTACTTGGATTTAAACCGGCTATAGCTCACAAAGTGGGCGGTACGTATCTGTTTGAAAACCTAAACCACACTAATCCAAATCTACGTATGGAAGCCGTGAGATATATTGAAAAAGAATTCAGAGCTCTGAAACTACAAAATCCAGATTTCGTGAAAGAATCCATTCTTGAAAGATTCAACGATGATCATATTGCTGTAGTTAATGCAGCCTTAGAAATATCGAATGAATCTTTAGCTCAAGTTCTTAATGAGGTTGATGTTACTAACGCATTCATAAGAATAATATCAAAGCGATCGAAAAAATGGAAGGCTACTATAAAAACAGCTATAGTTAAATTCTGTTCATTGAATTTACTACCTGTGAATCAAGACACTGTATTAGCAATCCTACCACTGTTATTCCCACGAGATGAAAAGGAACTCGAGATTTGTATTCAAATCATGAAATCACAATGGGGCCAAAAGTTTGAACTGACAAATAAAGCTTCAAAAAAACTACAAAATCTATCTGACTATAGTAAAGTGAACCAGAAAATATTTCAAGTTTTGTTCATTGATAACGCCATTGATTTCGATGATCTATTAAATGAAAATCAGCTGGATAAGAATGATACTCTGAATATATGTTTCTATTTTCTCCTTAAAACATGTACATTTAAGAAAGCAGCAGTCGAGGAAGTCACTGCTTTACTGAATTTACTGCTCGAATCTGTTGAGAACAGATCAATTGTTCAGAGTACTGGTGAAGTGCCCTTCTCTGCCGAGGTCATGCCAGAATTTATAATGAAAGCGAAAGAAAACAAAATGCTCTTTGAAGTTATAAAGTACATATTCAGTAAAGTCATTGAAGATGTCAACATTAAGGGGGTTACTAAACCTTGGTGTAATATGTTAAGGACAATAGATATGATTTTAATAAGAAGATTGTATGAAATATGTATGACAGGGTGTGCTATACCCGGCTACGGAGAAAACTATGTAGAGCTTTTACAAAAATTGCTAGATAAATTCTTCAGCAACCCTAAAGAGAAGTTTGATTTTATAGCTAATTTCGCATGCGGACATATTCTATATGCCACTGACCCTAAAGATGTGATCGCACCAGAATTACAATTAAGAAGTATTAAATTATTAATTAACTTCATTGCTGTACAAAATAATGCGAAGTGGCTATTTGATTCGGATGTCGTCATTTTGGTT